TCTCCTATCACTTTCTTGAACTCACTAGATATCACATCACCATGGATGCCTTAATTGTGTATTCCCATGTTAAGTTACACAGTTGTAGTCACACAGATATCAAGTTTTCTTCGGACTGATGCCACATCCCCACTCCCATTACTGGTTTTCCCAGACTAGGAAGCACTAAGGAAGATGATGATCTTTCAGAAGATTACACTTTTGCTTTAACTCTCTTACTCACAGCTTAAGATCAACAGAGTTATATTGGGGAACATTGTTCAGCAATTTGGCTGCAAATGGGAAGATGCTATCAGGCTATTTATCCCCAAAATCTAGCCTTTATTTGAGCAAATACTCTACTGGGATATGCTTCATGAAGCAGTCATTAAAGGTTATTATTTTGTTCTGTGTACAAAATAGTCTTTGGAAACAGCAAGAGAAAAATAGTGTGCAGTGCCTTTGGGTGGATTTCAGTTAACCAGGACCTAAGTCAGAGGGAGAGAGTTTTCTATGGCAACAGCCCAGGCTACCAGCTGCCAAACGAAATACAGAGATGATCAAAAGCCACAGGCTACTTGGGAACAGGTTGCCTTTAGGGCAGACTGTGCATGTTCACTTCCTAACTGACAGCACAGATGTAAGAACGTTGAATATTAGATGTGTTTAAAGATCTTCTATGTCAAAATATCCACACAATGCTAGGGATATAGCCAAACTTTAGTTAGCCAGGCATTTGAGTTTCCATAGCTGCACTGAAACTTCAGCAGATAATAGCTGTTATTTTCAACATTGCTGCCCCCAAGATTTATACACAGTGGTTTGTAGCTGAAAAACTACGGCTGTTCTTTATTAGGTTCCAATTCAACACAGTAACAAATGCGTTCTTCAAGTCATCTCTCTTTGGCAAAACCAAGGAATATACTTATTTCTAAGCGTGTGCCTAAGGGTTTTTTTTATTTCAAAACTGAATTCACTAGTATATAAACATGTACTGAAAGTTATGTCTAAGCACTTTCAGAGCCTACCATGTGCTCAAGTGATTTAGTAAATCAGGACTTCTGCAATTTAATTGCACTAAGTGGATGATAACAAAAGACAACAGGAATAAATTGTCTAACTGTGTTAAAGATCATGTGATTGACTCCAGACTTCAGCCGTCCCAAGCCTTCAGAAGGGTCAGATGCTATACCCTTGTTCACACAGAACGATGCCTGCCTCCATAAATAGTGTCATCAAAGTGAAAGGGGCTGCCTCTGAAGCAACCTACTGAGTATGAACATGTGTGCTGGAGCCTGGCCCATGCTGTAAAGTACAAAAGAGAGGTGAGGGAAGGAGAATTAGATTTTAAACAGATACTTGCCACTGTTGAATGGACAGAGGAGATTTATTTGTTAACACTTAATTTAGGCCATGTCGAAATGCCACGTTTGTGTGCGTACATATAAAAACTAGCAAGAGCACCATAACATAGAGGGAAGAGCTTACTTCAGAAGCAGTTTAGTAACTTGTCACACCTGTCGTATCTCATTATAATTACAGTGAAACAACATGGGAACCACAGGAGTACTGAGATGCAGCACAGAGCAATGAGAGCAAGCATGCAACAGATTAAGGAAACAGAAGCAGAGCTAGTAAAATTGTAAGCCTGCTTAAGGAACACACTGTTGCTGTTATGAAAGCAGGAGCCAGTTCTGCATCCAGTTTTGTGCAGAGTATTGAGATGGTGATAGTGTGGAGGGGAATCCTTTGGTAGCAGTTCAACTGCCTGGCCTGCCTCTTCTGCACAGCCACTAACACAAATCCATAGATGAGATATAATTGTCGTGTGGTAAAACCAGCAGATGCTCTTCCAACTGCCTCACTTGTCTTCAGATCTCTCAACTATCACAGAGCAGTAAACATAACCCTCAACTCCATGGCCTCTGGTCTTCCCCTCCTCTGCCATCTAGGAGGACCACTGGAGCTAATCCCCAAAGGGACTGAAGCACCCAGCTGCTGTAGTAGTGTTCACAAGCCTCATTTATGCCATTCAGAGTGCGGAAGGGCAGAGTAAGGATAAAGTGTGAACAACCTCTCTAGCAGGAACAGCTGTGCTACAGTGTACAGTCCAATGCTTCCATGTAATGTGAAATCTGTAGCAGTTTACCTTAAACCATAAACCGTGGCATTTTAGGAGTAAGAGTCCCTAGAGCAGACCCTGTACCTTTCATCAATGGAGTAAGGCAGACAGCTGGAGATAGTAATTACTTCAGCCATTGCCCCTGCTGAATGTGTCTCAACCCCAGACAATCATTTTACAAGATCTGTAACTCAGTGTTTGGGAGGAGGGGGTTTCCAAAGGCCTGGAACAGTTGACACATTGAATAGGAAAAGGATGAAGCATTTGAGTTCACTTCTCTTTCTTGGAATAGAGACACTTATTTGCAATCCTGAACTTCATGCCGTGTGAGACTATCAGTATGTATGCATTTAAACTGCTTTTCTTTTTTTTCTTTTTTTTTCCTGTGGATCTGAGCTGCAGTGCTTTAATCCTTGTGCTAGCAAATAAAACTTTCTTCATAGGAGCAGTGACTGTAGACTCTGGCCCACAGTTTTAGTGCCTTGGCCATTACAGTCACCTGGTTTAAATACAAGCATGGAAATTTGGAGTGAATTAAACAAATGGTAGCTAGGAAAGCCCCTACATGAACAAAGAAGAACTGCAGAAACGTATTGTGGACACCTGGAAAAGCCTGTCTCATATTTGCAAGAAATATATAAACAATGTTCCAGGGAGACAAGTCTGTAATAAAAACTAATGGTGAACAAACAGAATACCGCACTGAGTAGTTCAAGAGGAATCCTTTTATACTCTTTTGCTTTGGGGCATATGCTTCCCAAGCATTTTGATTTATTAAAACAATTCCTCTATATATTTACATTGCTAATCAAATCATGGTATGATGGGAATGATGGTAGGTTTTTCAGTCTTAGGAAAAAGTATATTATAGATTGAACAGATAAACTGTGCACAATTAAGTGGCAAAATTCCCATTAATGCAAAGAAATATAAAGGGAAAGCAGCAAGTCAAATTTGTTTCTACTGTTTCTGACTACTTAGAAAAAAATATGATATCCAGTTAAAGTCACTAAGCCTTATATCAAGTATTAAAGTTAGATGGCTAAGCTTACTCATACAACTAGTTCCACTAATGATATGAGAAAAGGTGTGCAGGATTACTTCTGCAAGTAATAACTTTCCCAGTGTATTCACTATCCTACACACACACTTGAGAGATACCTTTGACTGAGGAGAACACTCCATGGCAATTCCAAATAGGTCAATTTGAAAGAAGCGCTTAAGAAAGGTAGGCCTGTAGGCATGGAAATACAGTTTGGGGATTCTCCCATTGACTAGGAAGAGAAGGTGAGACCTGATGTCCCAGAGACAGGCCAAAAAGAGGATTCCTCTGAAAAGCTGTGAAAATATTTCATTGTAACTGTTCGAAATACGGGGAGAGCTTTGTTCCCACCTGAAACACAAATTTCCCTAAAGCCTGCTTAATATGCCAAGGACGACCGTTTTCAAAGTCTGAGCCATCACACATAAAGATACCACATTGCTTAAACAACCACTTTAAATCTGGTAGTACACAAAGCTATAAACAGCAATAACAATTTAAAGATTGTGTAGATACAATTAATAGTTAATTTATACTAAATTGCATTTACCACATCATTAAGTAAAACATTCATCAATATGGCAGTTATTTATCAAACAATTTTTCAAACGAATTGCATTCAATTTGTGCTTCTAATTGGCCAGTTACATAATGCAATGTGAAGAGGTCAGCTGGAACGATATCATATATGTACTATATCATCAGAACAGAGATTAGTCACAATTAGGTACCTAATCCATGTCATCTGTATATGTTATCGCTATTGCCATTCTTTTCAATGCTAGAGGACAATGAAATGTATACAGGAAAGCTTCCTTAGCTTTCTCTGGGGACAAATTATTATAATATTTGCTCGTGCTCAAAAAGTCAAAGGATTTGCACTTTGCATTATCCATTTGTTTGAAGGGAGGTTGTTTGCGATCTAAATATAAACTTAACTTCAGCATTTGCGTTCTCTATTAATTGACTCATACTTGAGTCCCTTTATGTGATAAACATGCACAGCTAATAATCAATGATATAGCAACTGTGTGTACAGAACAAATAAGAAAAGAAACAAATATTCTGTGTCTGTAGTCACATATGCCAAGCAGAATACAAAGAAGAGCAGATATGTGTGCTTTAGAGCTGGAATCCTTAAAGGTCATTTATAGCAGGTTTTGACACACTGCTATTACACCAAAAAATAACCTTTCTTCTTGTTGCTAAAATGCCCTTGCCACCGTACCTGTTTAGTTCAGAATATATACTTACAGGCATCCGTTCACAAGCCTAGAATTCACTTTCTTGGGATTTATGGAAGATGAAATTACACACTCCCCCCCCCCCCCCCCCCCCTTTTTTTTAAAAAAAAAAAAAAAATTGTTTTCTTAACTGGGGAGTCCCTTTTGCACAAACCCTTTCTCATTCTTGCCGTGTTCATCATCTATGTCGCGCAGGGGAGTTGGGAAGCCACAAGGTAAGAGATTTTCGCTCTTCCTGCTCAGCCTGCACTGAAACTGGTCCTCCAGACCAGTTTGTCACTTATGCCACTCAGCACTCGCTTCTTTCCAAAACATCAGAGCACTCCGGTTCCTCTCAATAGTAAGAAAAATCTCCTTATCCCACAAGCAAACCGAAAAAAATCCCGGGGATTTTCCTGCGTGAAGAAGTACCGTGCGAGGAGACCAGGGATCCAGCAGGTCAAAGACCTGCACCTTATCTTCCAAAAGTTATGATCCCTTTTGTTATTTTTTCACGCCAATTCAGTGAAAAAGACCAACACTTCCTATTTTCAAAGGAGAGAGGCTTCTCACCTCAAAGGCGTCCCAAAGGCGAGTCTTTATTATTTCAAAGCACAAACCCGCTAGTTCTCACCTCTTTTGCTTTCTCCTCGGCTTCCGCACACGAGAGTCGATATGCAAAGGTTTGTCTGTCTCTTTTGGAAGCACGTTTTGCCTCACTGGGTTTATAACACGACTAGGCTGCAGCGGGCAAACCTGTTCCTCTTCCAGGAGCCTGCATTGGCACAAGCGGCTCTGCCACGCACCCGATGCCGGGTGGGTGAAACGCGGGAGGAACCCGCGGCACACACACAGGCATCCAAGCTGTCCTGGGTTACTGGAATGACCCGTACGGAACTGCAGTAGCTATAGGATTTATACCGGAACAAAGTATATTAAACACTTGCAAATTCTTAGTGCTGCGGGACCTTTACTCGGCCCTCCTGGTGTGGAGCCTACCTCATACCAGGGGAAAACGTCAAGTCCCCATAACCTCCTATTTTCCCCTGTACTTTCATCACCTACCTTCCTCGTTTGAGGGATAACATGTTGACTCTGAATAGCTCGTTCAAACAATTAAGCCGACTCTAGGTAAGAGGAGCTCAGCATCCCCCCGCTTGACTATCCCACCATGAACCTTTCCCCAGCAGCTCTCCTCCACCCCAGGGTACCCATTTCAGAGGCTTGCTACATCTGCTTTTTTAAAAAACAGCCCTTTCACTGCTTGCAGGCACACGACAGGGCCCGTTCTTCTCATTTATTTTTCTGAACGGCAGGCTAGCCGTAGGATGATGATGATGACGATGATGAGTAACAATAATAGTAGTAGTAATAATAATAATAATAATGATAATGATGATGATGCAGTGGAAGCTACAGCTGTCCCCTGGGCCCAGGGCAGCGATTTCAGCAGCGGCAGCCCTGCCGCAGGAGCAAGCAGGACACGATTTCTCCTTCTGCAGTGCCCTAATGAAAAGCCAGGCAGGCTTGACGCGACCTCAAGGACCTGAGCACAACAAAACTAAATTTTAATGCAGTCGCGCTGCCTGCATTGCAGCCTCCGGCGGCACATGAGGGTTGCCGCAGCCAGTGATGGACCTCCCGGCATTTAGCACCCTCACTTTAGCTAGCTTGGCTCCCCCGCTGTCCTCTCGCCGTCCTCCGCACTCGAGGCAATTAAGCAGAGAGCGCAAGGGGAGCCTTACACCGAGGGGCAACGAAGTTGTGCTGCGGTGTAACCTCATTCTCCAAGGGAAATCTTGAATGAACAACTATAGTCCTCCTGCACGTCAGCCTGGCTGAAAAGAGGTCTGCATATAACCTTGTTCTTAAAGTCCATATGCATGCAAGAAAATACACGAGGCGCTGCCTCCAGCGAAAAAACAGCTGAGGCGGGGGAAAGGGACCGCTCCAGAGGGGAAAGCCGGCTCCCCTGCAGTGCTCTTTGGAGCGGGGGGGCGGTGCGAACCGGGGCTCCCCAAGCCCAGCTTCCAGGCGGGGAAATCCTGCCGGGGCGCGGAGCCCGGGGCGCGCGAATGGACTGCTATGGAGCTGCAAATGGACTGCTAACAAGCTGGTCGCGGAGCCCTCCCGGCCCCCCCGGGCCGCCGGTAGCCACCCTGGGCTGGGTTGCACTGGTGGTGCCGGCGGCACTGGTGCGCAGGCAAGGGAGGGCAGGGCAGCACAGGGTGTAACCGGTCCCGCTCCTGGAAAACAGCTCCGAGGGGGTTGTCCGACCGGCCCCCGCGGGACCAGAGTACTCAGAGTACTCCCTGCTTGCTTTGCTGTGCCGGCCTGAAATGCTGGTGCCGTGGTGGTGGCCACCCCGGCAAGCAGGGGACAGATCGAGCCAGATCTCCAGCTGACTTTAAGGAGATCCGCTGGGATCTTTCATTTCCACTCGGGTCATTTGAGGTAGAGTTTCGCGATTGATGTTCACGGTTTGGGGATTAAAGGAGAGGGAAACGACCGGTAATTTCAGGTGCTCATAGAAAAATATGTCTCGTTTCTGGTGCAAAACCACTCTAGCATGCTGGTTGCCTTCGGATCCCTCGTTTCTTGGCGTTACCAAACACTGATCTCTGTCTCTGCAGTTCCCCCTGGACCTAAGGCAAGTGCTTGGCCTTAACTGAGAAGCATAAACCGCGAAAATACAGAGAGGGGCTGGTGTGGGGGAAATGGACATACAAATGCAGGGAACAGCTAGAACAGAGGCGATGATGACTCTGCTGATCCGCATCCTTGCTGGGTGAATGCCAGCCTAGTACGCCGCCGCGCTCAGCATCCCTTTTGAAAGCGAATAAAAGGGATTTTCTTGAAAAGGGAACCGCAGTTCAGTCCCTACACCAGAGTGCTGACCCAAACGCATGCTTCCTCATGCAGGCGCCTGAACGCCTGCCTGCCCAGCTAAGAGCACGATGCCCGTTATCGCTTCACGTACCAAAGCGATTCCGTCCGAGCAGTGCAGGCGCCGTGGTTCGCAAGCCCCTTGCCCACCCCCCCGCCGCGCCTGCATGCGTGACCAGAGCCCTCGCTCCCTACAGAGCCACTTCGTTTCGGGGAGCGCGTCTTAAACTAGGCTACCAAACCGCTCGCCACCTGCGCACTCTCGAAACCCGCCACGGCAAGATCTGCCGTCGCCGCAGTTTTAGGAGAGGAGATAGTTGTGCCTCTCAGACGTTTCCAACACTTACATTTGCCTCCAGAGTGACAAATGAGCAGCGGAGCGGAGGAACACGCAGCTCATAGATAGGATCAACGAGATACCGCCGACCTGTCCGGCCCTACGAGCCTAAAGGGAGCGTCAGTGCTGCCGCCAGCAGCTACTGCCGTGTCCGGAGGCGACGCTAACAATCGCAGTGATAAACACTTCAAAACAGTCCCACCGAGCTTCTCCTCCCTCACTGGGCCCCTGTGTTTCAGGTTAAGTAGCACAGCTAGAGCACAACCCAGCAGTCCCCAAATACAAGGAGATGCGTTGACACATACGGTGTCTCAGCAGTCACTTTGATTTTATTTATTTTTTTAAAATTCTATTTTATTTTACTTTTTTAAAAGTTTAACTGACCCTTCTGGTCACCAACTTTCTTTGTGGTTCACTGTAAGGATCGCTCTCCAAGAACAAAAAAGAAATCTCAGGGCTTTGATAGAGACTCTGGATGAAATTAAGAACTTCAAACCCCAGATTTTTGAAAAGAAAAACAGATGTCCTGTTTGTTGAGTATAAATAACTCCGTACGTGGAAACCTTTTTTTTACGCTGCATTAAATTTTATTTAATGCTGGGTGCATTTAAACTGTAAAAAAAAAAAAAAAAAAAAAAAAAAAAAAAAAAAA